CCTCCTTTACACTAGCTTGGGGACGGGATGGGGGATGGAGCTTCGTCTGGCGGGGCTTCGGTTGGCGGGGGCGGGACATGCTGGGGAATGCCTCACCCTGAACAAGATGTACCGCACGTCACTGGTGTATACTTGTTGTTTCTGCCTTTGTTAAACTGCCATTCCGCTTATGTACAAAGTATGGCAGATGCTTAAGCCCCCTTGGCAGAATGCCTTTCCCTCAAAGGTTGCTTTAAATTTATAGGGATATGGAGTGGTCCATATCCATATCATTTATAATTTGTCAATGAATCAATAAATACATGATAAGAGATACATGGATAAAAGAAAAATCATTTACACCTAGACTGTCCAGAGACATAAAGATAACTTGAGCCCTCTGATCAATCAGAAAACAGGAGTGTAAATTTATGTAAATGACAGCAATAATATACGTTTATTAGTTGTAGGTTAAATAAATGCACTATAATACAGAGGCTTGCAGAATGAGAGCTTTAGACAGGTGGGGCAGACAACAAGTTGTTAATTCAATGACCAGTAATTGCACCTTTGTTGTAATTAGAAAGAAGTAGACCAGGCAAACATACCCAGATAGATAAATATGCTTTGAATTATGTAGTTTCCTTGGCAAGGTGATCTATTTTACTCCACCAACTTGTCCCCTATCTGTATGCTTGTTCCAGGTAACGTAATGCACATGTAAACCCAAACAATGAACGTCTCTTATTTGATCTCTTTTGGTCTGTTAAATACACCATAGGGTTTTGTTATATGTGTATGCTAAATGTAAAACTTGTTGATTCTGCCAGAAATCCAGCAAGCTATTAACATCATGTGTTCTCTGACTGACATTGTTCCCAGCTTCCTTTGTATACAACAAAATGTTCATCTCCCCCCTCCCCCTTTACCATTGGTATAGAGTTGAGGAGCAGAGGCTATTCTGTAGTCCTAAAACACTTCATGACCTGGGTGTGTTAATGGCAAGATCACCAAGTGAAAATAAAGGGGAAAAAAGCGTGAAAAACTAATGTAGCTACCACATGTAAAGACTGGTAAGCTGCAAAATATTAAATTTCTGTTTTTGGAATAAGGTACACTTTAACCACTTCCAGCGGGTTCAAGTAAATATACGTTGTCCGCTGGAAGGGGTTATACCAAGAACACGGCTGCTGCTAGAGCCATGTTCTTGGTATCGTTTTAAACAGTCGGCGATTACTGTTTAAATAAAAGTGATCCGGCATCTGTAGACGCAGGATCACTTGTACGGTGCTGCGGTGTGTGTCACCCCCCTCCGCCGGTGCCGCCCTCCGCTTCCCAGACTCCACTGTCCCCCGTGTGAGCACGGGACCGGCACGGCGGGTCTCCCCTGATTGATCGGGTCTCCGCTGATCAATCCTCCGATCACTGGACCCGGAAGTGATGTGCATTACATCACTTGCGATGTCACTGGGCACATTCTACTGCTCTTAGAGCGAGAAGAAGAAGCTGCTGAAGCAGATCTTTGCTTCATCAGCTTCTTTGGGGTCCCTAGGTGACATTAGGGGTCGCAGTGCCCTACAGAGCCTCTGCTTTCAGAAAATATATAGTTTTTTGGGGGGTCTCAAGCTGTTTTCTAGCCAAAAATTCTGATTTTATCATGTGTGTGCAAATGTAAGAAATTGCTCTGGGCAGCAAGTGGTTAATATAATAAATCAGGTTATAGGTTGCTGAAGCAGTCTTCAGGAGCTATACTACATATTTACATTCTAGTTATAAGCTTTTTTGTTTGTGGTATAGCAATAGCACACATTTTAGTTGTATACAAGTGGCTAGAAAAAAAAACATGTATTTGTACATACCTGCCATGAAAAAGATCTGTGTCATTTCTATCTTTAAGAGCCTGCTGCAGGCTGATTTTGTATGTCCACTGACTTGTGGGGAGAGAAGCAGTTCTGACATGAACATAAACCCATCATAGACCAAGGACGTGCACGATGTGAAGTCGCTCAGTGTGAATGGGGCCTTAGTGTCATTTTAAACTATATCGGCCGAAGCTACGGCCAGATCCCTCGGCAGCTTCGTGAATAGACCCCTATGTTTTACTTAGACTGCAGTTGGTGTTTGTATCATTTTCACTTTATTTGATGGAAAACATTTTTACATTATTTATTTACTTTACATTTCTGTCATAGAGAACTTCTCTTCAAACCCAACAAGTCCAACAGCGGTGAAGATCTGACAGAATCATCCCTACAAATGAATTGTTCCAAATGTCACAGAATATCTCTGTCCTTTCCATCAATACCCTTAGAACCAATCCATAAGGTATGCTCGGATGTTCAGTATATGTTTATAACATTGTATAAGCAAAAATATGTTAAAAATGCGGATGTACTGTATATGCTAGCAATGGCAAATACTTCTAATGAATGTACTTTTATGAGGAATGCTTGTAAGAATGAGATTATAGATATTCATGGTTGGATCTAAACTCATTCAGCAGCATTTGTGCTGCTATTCAAAGGATTTAAAAAGTACCAGGCACAAGAGACAAATGCTAGCATGGGAAAATAGATCTTGTTCTGATATCCTTACTTGCAGGTGGTCATATGTGCAGCAAATATAGCAAGGAGCAAGTGGGATGAAGAGCAGTAATTCTTCAGTAGGAATCAATGGCAAATCATTTGCCATTTCACAGCAGCAAATGCTTAAAACCATCCGTGGGCTGGTGGCTGTAACGTTCACCATGGTGGCTCAATACGTCAAGCCTTTAACAAAAGCACTCACTTAGCGTTGATCTGCTGAGACATACACAGACTGCAAAATCTCATTGAAAATATGAGCACAGTTGCACCTGATTCTTGTGTGTGTATAACCCTTACAGTGACACTAAACTCAGGAGTTAAACCTTAACAATGCATTTAAGTGCAATAATTATTACCCAAAAATGTATCTTATTTGTGTATCACTCGGCTGTAGATCCTCAAATCATCTCTGAATTGGTGCCGACATGGGTGTGAGCTTGGAGCGGTGACTACTTTACAACACACACAGGGACCATGGGGAACATAAGTAGCCACCCTCCAGAAGGAAGGACAGTGTCAGCACCAATTCAGAGATGATTTGAGGATCTACAGCCGAGTGATACACAAATAAGATACATTTTTGTTTATAGTTAGGTTGAGTTTAGTATCACTTCAAAGAGAACCTGTGCTTTTCCTGTTTGTGCTAATGATGTTTCTTTTCTATGTTTTTTAGGAAACAAACAATGGTCACCATATTTTACTTCATGTGTGATACTGAAATACTTTATGTATACAGAAGAAGAACATATACCGCTTTATGTAAAACTCAGTACTCAGTGGCAAAATCCAGGAAAGTATATGAAACTAAAGGAACTGTTACTTTAAATTGGTCCTAGAACCCCCCCTCCCTCACCACCACCACTACCACCAACACCACCACCATTATCAGATGCTTATACTCACATTTTCTTCACCTTACCATAAGCCGCCAGAAGGGATAACAGAAAACCCTGGCTAAGCTCTATGTAACTTTAATGAGAACTTACACATAGCTGAGCACTCTCCGCCCACCATCATGTGACAACTGTGGACCAATTAATAACCACCAGAGCTGTCACATGAGACAAAAAGAGGTTGAGTCGTACGCTCCCCCATATGTGGAAATACTGCGTATCATCTTCACTCCCAGCACCTTGAGGTAGTGATGGGGTAGCTGTCTAACAGGGTTATTCACAGAAGAGGGAAGAGTTTGGGGAAGGCAGGAGAAGTGAACAATCTAGGCCAACATAGCTGAAATGGAAAGTAAGCTGAATTGAAACATTTTTCTAAATCAACTTTTTTGTCCTAGATTGTTCACTTCTCCTGCCTTCTCCAAACCCTTCACCCTTTAGTTAATAACCCTGTAAATGTTAGTAGCTGCTGCTGAGGAGGGGGCATCAAGGAGAACCTGCTGTTTTTCCTGCATGGGCAAGTGTGCTTTTAAGGATCTCAACGATGAAAGTATGTATCTTGATACATGTATGTGGTTAATACCTGTTAGTGTTCACTCAAAGCATATCTAAACCCAAAAACTAAAAAATTATAATACATTGCAGTCAATTGCAGTACAATCCCATATACAGTACCACAGCAGCAGTCCAATACTTTTCCCAGCAGATGGATGAGGCGTACACCCAGGAGCATCGTACCTTCTTGTGATATAAACACCAGCAGGGAGTAAGGCAGTTTGTCATACAGCCAGTATATTAATTGTCATTCACCCATGCCTACCATTATTATCATTTTATTTTACTTTTTGCATGTGAAATGGTGTGGAGAACCTGCTGTTTTTCCTGCATGGGCAAGTGTGCTTTTAAGGATCTCAACGATGAAAGTATGTATCTTGATACATGTATGTGGTTAATACCTGTTAGTGTTCACTGAAAGCATATCTAAACCCAAAAACTAAAAAAATTATGTCAGGCGCTTTAGTTTATTTTTTACTTTTCATTTCAATCATGTTGTACCATAGAAATTGGCAGACGTCTGCGGATGTCACATAATTCCTTTTGATATATGAATTAATGTCTGAAACTGAATGATGAGCAATAAAGTCCTGCAACTTATAATAATAGTGTTTGGTGATATTTCCCAGTTCTTGTACTTTACAAATGTCACATTCTGCTTATTTATATTCAGCAAATAATGGAATGATGGTGACTTACAATATTGATATTGTGATTAATGAACAGTGTTTTATTTCTGTCTGTCTACATTTGAAAGATGCAGGTCAGTATAATGGTGATCTGCTCTTTACAGCCAAATTGTTACAGAAACAAAGTTTTGTGCATAGTTGAAAGTAAAAACCTACATACAGTATATACACCACAAATCCTAATAGAGTAAGTTCTCTACATACGAATGGGTTCCGTGCTGATAGAGCATTCGTAAGTCCAATTTGTTCGTAAGTCCAACAAAGTTAGCCTAGGTACCCTGTTACATGACTAAGGTAGCTCAGGGGTCCTCTTTCTCCACTTTATCATGTAAAATCCTCCCCTGTACTAAATAATACCAATGGGATAGAGTTTAATGACCACAGCGGCCTTTTATTAACAAAACCAGTAAATATAACATTTATAAATAACCAACATCAACAAATAACCAGACCATATAAAACATCTCAAGTTTTAGGCCCTTGAAGGCACAATGAACCATAAAGAAATTTGCATCTGCAGCCACATTTTGTACCTGATGCCCCCATCCACCATACACCGCCTCTGGGACGTTATGAATTGACCACAGACGCACACTGGTCCCTATTACCCAGTTAAACCTGTTGGACCCACACTGAAGATGGGTCCCCCATTAAAATTACCAGCAGCCAAGAAACGACTTAAAGGATCCAAACCACCAAGCAGCCGCCAGGACGAATCAATCCCAGCCAGACAAAAAAACAACTCCAGGGCGGGTGGGAGGGATGCTCACCTCTTATCTGACGACCTCTGACTGGCTCTCTGTGACTCCTCCTCGCAGACCACCCTCAGAAGCCCCTCCTAGCCAACCTCTTTGGCCCAATCCGGTAAATGCTCATCACATCCCCTACCTTAATCCCCACCCCTGTCATGTTTGCTCATTCACCCTTAGTTTCCTGGCTCCAGGCCTGTTTTCACTGCTGCTTTTACGCTTGCTTATGGATATCGTGGGCTTGAAATAAAGATACTGTACTACTGTACGCTATACAGTACTGTACCGTAAAGTACACAAAAGCCCCCACACACGTAACAATGACAAGCGAACTAACTTACATGAAGGGCATGCAAACGCATGTTTGCATCTTTGAAGGTTCGTAACTTGAATGTTTGTATGTAGGGGACTTACTGTAACTGTCTTCAAAGGGATCCATACAGATATACTGTACTTTGCAGCTACTCAGTTATATAATATATAATTTCTTGCAAATAAAATACAGAATTATACAAGGTGTTATTGGTATTTTATGCTGATCTGATGTTCCGGACGCACATATTCTCATTAACAACCCATTCACATTATGTGTTAATGCATATGTGTTACCACAATGTGTTATGGTGAGGTAAGGGGTGCTGCATTAAGACTCCTAATTCATTGTGATCCATTATTAACCTAAGCAATACATGTTCTCATTAATGACTAACATACAATGTGTGTTACTGCAATGTGTTATGTTGTGCTAAAGTCAGCTACATTAAGACAGCTAATTCATTTTGCTCCACTTTACACCTTAGTAATGCGTTGAAGTGCATTATTGCACGTGTATTGCATTAAAGCAGCCCTTTCATATTAAAAGGACATGCAAACATTTAATAAAATACACAGTAGTTCTGTCAGCTCCGACTGTACAGTTAAGTTTGGGTGGCACTCAGAGTAAATGGTACTTCAACATACCTCACAAAGTGGCATGTGTTGCATTAGAGCAGCACATAAGGGTGAAGCTGGTTGGATGGGCACTTTAATGCACAAACCATGGGCATGCCTTTTTTTTAGCACAGCATTCCACAAGACACAGCATGTACAATGTGGTGCCTTGCAGTGTGGGTGAATAGCTTGCTACTGTAGAAATGTGTTAGAGCTGTAATTGCGGTCATGACTTTAGATCTGCCAGCTGGTGAAATCATAGGATGATCATAAAATAAATTGGTTCTCTGCTAAGAAAGAATAGGGGGAATTTATCAAAGCTGGAGCAGACAAAATCTGGAGCAGTTGCCCATGGCAACCAGCTTCTCTTTTCAGTTTGTTCAGTTAAGGTTTGACAATGAAAGATAGGTGCTGATTGGTTGCCATACACACCTGCTCCAGATTTTTTTCTGCCCCAGTTTTGATAAATTCCCCTCAATGTGTTTCCGTGGTCAGACTTCAGTTCCCCAGACACTCCAAACAATAGTTGGGTGGAGAACCCACAGGGCAGGTATACTTAGAGATATACTATTTTTTAGAAGATCCCATTTAATAGATGCAACAGCCACAGCAAATACCATACTACTAGGGCTTTATACCTCTCATGTTTTCTAATATTTCTTTAGTTTGCTGTAGTATAGCTATAGTTAAAGAGGAATTTTACCCATATATATTGAAATGACATCAAACACACCTTTAGAAATGTCTAGTAATGACGATTTACAAACAGATACTTAAAGATAATTGCCGGCTTTTTATTCTTTGCATACCTTTTTTTTTCCTCCCCATTTTTCTCACAGTGGCCACTCTTTACCAAGGGCAGATGAATCCATCTCCCTTTACTTTTTGGAACTCTGGCAACATGTGACTAGGACATGTGATCATGCACATCATCTCAGGGGAGAAAGATATCTTTCTCTGAGATCTCGTGAGATTACAGATAAGATTTCCCAGTAATACTCTGCTGATGTAATCTTCCCAGGATGCAATGTTTGGGCACCTTACATTCCCAATGCCCAAGAGAACCAGGAAGTGGAAAAACAATAACTGTAATTAAAAGATAGGGATTTCTTTAATCCCCATTTCAGAGCTGCTCTGGGTTTAATAGATTTATTCACTATTTTTAATTATTTAATTATTCACTTAACTATTCCTTCTATACTACCTCCCTCCAGAAGCGCAGACTATCTATTTTAAAGAAAAATATGTTTGTTTATCTAATGCATGTAAGATGATTTCATATTCACATGCAGAGCTGCATGCTGAGGTGATTTTTAGTGGCCAACTTTAAGTAATACATCACCTAATATAACACTGCTAAGGCCCCTTACACAATGTCCCTTACGTGGTGCATTTATTTGCAAGAAGAGCCAAGGGATTTGTGTGTTCACCAATTACTCTGAGACACATTTATTGTTATAGAAGCTTGTACACCACAGAATCCAATATAATAAATTATCTTTCCATTAACAAATTATTGATAAATGTATCAATGTCATACACAATTTTACACATTACATGCAAGAAAGACAAGCCTGTGAATATTAGAGTGGAGTGGGTAGCCTATGTTCTTATCTATGCAGAGTGCTACAGAATTCACCATTGATTTACCACTGAGAAAAAACATTGTTCATAATAATATGTAATAATAATATGTAATAATAATATGTTAAAGTATAATTAAAGCCTCCATTTTTTTGCATACAGTATATCTACTGCTAGCAAGCAAGCAAAAAAAAACCCGCTTTGCAAAGGGTTAATACTCACCTGTGTCTTCCCTGCGCGCTCCCATCCGAAAATGTGAACATTCTCGGGCGGCCGCAAAGCATCTTGGGGCGAGCACATGCGCAATTTACATTT